CTGTAGGAGGGTGATAGGTAAATACATGTAGCTCGTCTTAAGTGCGTCAATCGACGCCGGAGTGAGATACTCAGGCGCGCGAACTGATGATATCCTCACGACTAGTGACGAGGCATTTTTAAGGGCTATCAGGCAGATGTAGTCCCATAGTTATCTTAGGCTAATATTCAAAACTGTAAGTATAGTTAAATATTCACCTGAAAAGGACTGGGTTGTACTAGCTCTCGCTGGTGACCAAATGGGTACGAGCAGCCCCGTTAGTAATAACGTTGAATTGTATCAACGCTCAAACTGATAAAAGATTAGTTAGCCTTTCCAAAGAATTCGTTTGGTTGAGAACTTATAGGATCATACTGGCCTCCGGAGAGGTAGCACTGTCCAGCCTATAGGAGACTGAGGCTAAATACGTAATACGAAGTCACCAAGAGAATGATCGGAATTCAGTGACGCTAGGTCACTCATTAGTCGTGGCATTCAGTTGCCAATGTCAGCCGCACCGTACTGCGACAGAACTAAGCATAACACATTCTAACGCGTGAATGTAGAGTCCTGGAGATAGAGGACATGGGCCAACCAAATTGAATGGAATGGCCTCAGTAGATTCAGATGTAGTGAGCTGCTTGTGGTATTCATACCAGCTTCATAGCTTGTCACTCGCTTTCTAGGCCCTAGATTCCCAGATTCACACCGTCAAAATAACCTATGACCATAACGAACGCGATGCTGTCGGCTTCAGTACAAAAGCAAATGGCGCAATAGACACGTGACACTAACGTAATTCACATCTTTTAATTTTCCGGACCGATGACGTCTTAGCGCTACGTAACGCAACGCAGGCACCGTCATTGATAATCTATCGGAAAATGGAAATTAACTTAGATATATCAGCACACCTCTGGGAGGATATTCCGTATGGGAACAAGGCTGACCTGACATAGTGTCTTCATAGAGATTTCACACTTCAACAACACTCAACAGGAAGCCACACACTTAGGTTCCTGGTTTGTTTGTGGTGCTTCTAGGCCGTGTTGGAAAGATTGATGCAATTATCTGGGTTTGATGATAGTAACCACGAGTGGTGTAGTGGGAATACGGGGCTTGTAGACAAAGTTGGGAGCTCAGTTGAACAAGAAACACATGATTCGCAACTGCAGTCTCTTACACCCTCGTTTCACGAGGCACATTACTCTTTTAGGAATATCAGGAAATCACCAAATTAGTACCGTTGTGAAATTCTTCGAAATTTTTTTGAATAACACGCCACTGACACAATAATCGCGTCCTGCGTGATACCACCATTTCTCTACCCAGTAGATCGCCACTTAACCGATCTTTATCGGTGCTTGCGAAATTGCGAAGGGGAATGAAGTGATGTTGGGCTGCCGTATTTCTGTCACTACTGAACCACGATTTCTTCGCAAGTTCACCAACGGCGTAGACAGCCCGGAGCTTCTGGTTAGCGTTTCACTGGCAAATCAGCCGCACCAATGCGTACGTTGCTTATTCAGATGATTGTATTTTATTTGCAAATTCAGAGACAGAATTGAAGTGATTAGTCACAGCATTTGCTTGGGCAACATTCAGCTTCGTTTTATGCCTTGTCACCTTTGTGTCAGCCCGCCCGAGTATACCATAGGATACCGTGAATCCATCGTGCGGACTTCCCTTACATCAGGAACATCCTATCTACAGACTTGTCACTTGATACCAAACTAGTTGTTCCCTTTGCTAAAGCTAGTGCCAGTCATATGGACATTCCTGGGGCCTCCGCAGTCTGCGTGTGGATATCGATATTACAGTGTATCACGCCGCCGTTTTTTCTTCATTACCGTAAGGCAGAGGAAATGGAGGCTGCTAACTGCATATTAGAACGTCCGACGGACTCCAATAGGAATACCTGCGCAAGATCCTTTGGATTCATTGGTATCCGAAACGTTGAGTTCGCCAAAGGACCAGCCACGTTGGTTAGATCTGGTAAAAGAAATGATGGATAACCGCAGCACGGAACAATTCACATGTGGTCGATTGAGGAGTGGAACTGGGACTCGGTAAAGACCCGAATTGCGCAGTGACCACCTCAGGAAAATCCGGCTTCAGATCACGGAAGAATCCGAAACTTGACATTGCAAACAAATCCAGCCGCAGTAACCTGTGAAGGCAGACGGCCGAATAGAATCGGACATCTTCGTTTCCTGCCATTTATAACACCACGGAAGCAGAGGTGAGTTGCCTAAGGTGTTTGCTCGCACCGCCTTGGTCCTACTGGTATTCAAGGTGATGACAATGCCAATAGTCAACTGATCACTGGTGTGCCATCTGGCTATCCATTCCCAGCTAAATGCGGTGCCAAGAGGCAGCCATCAGAAGGTGGAAAACGCCAACATTATCGTTCGCTGTTTGTCGAGCGTTATGCGTCAGCGTAAAACACTTTCCGAACTAATCTGTTCCTCTATCTGGTTCAGAGATCGAGCCGGATTCAGAGCACAGAGTGCTGGCCGACACCAAAATGGAGACACTGAGAATAAACGCAGGAAGCTTTGAGTTCGTTGCACCGATTACGGCAAACTAACTACTGTCTTGGAAACATGATACCCTACGGCGTACACCTGATCCGTAGTCTGGGGTTGAGAAACAAAGACACGGCTGCCGAAATACATAGGGATCACTGGTGGGTCTTCCTAAAGAACTTTCTTGCTGGGAACAGGATATGCATTTCCAGGTGGTTCCTATCCGTCGACCCACCAGTTTTGAAGAATAAAAAACGCGGGACACAGCCACATTTTCAAATCAATCACTGCATGTACGAATGGATAACTTCCAATTCAAATTGCAACTGATTTATGGTCACTTTCACCGGATCAGCTGGTGCCTTTTAGGTTTGCAGATTGGGTATGATGAGAAGGAAATATTCGGGCGCTTAAGGAGGTTTCCCCAAATTACGAAACCCAGCATCATTTTTCGGGGCTTGGTTATATCTATCAACGAAAATCGTGCCATACAACTTGGTCCACAGCCTCAATAACCCTCATCGATTCACAGAACCTTTCAAAACATAGTTTTCTGGTAAAGCCGGCAGGAAAACAGTAAATCGGATACTGGGCAAAATTGTCACCACGTACACTTGAGTATGAAAAATTGCCCCGATAGGTCAGCGAACACGCAGTAAACGTATGATCGATGTGTCCCGGCTTATTTTCATACAAAACCACGTGACCAAAAACGGTAAACGATTCCGTGGTGATGCGGCAGACCGGAAATCATGTGAATCAATGTAGCTTCCGGACAGAGCCAACTGAGAGATGCACGAAATCAGACAAACTAGTTGACGCGCACTTCTGAATTTAGGTAGAAAAGCTACAGGCCATTGTGCGTACTGAGACTCCGGTGCCTCGTGCTGAGATGTCATACACGCGGGACAAAATAACCAAGCTTAAATTACGGGAGCTAGTACCCAATCAGTTGCCAATGTGGAACAACGACAGAATACCAAAGGGTCACAAGCTGTTTGATAGCAAATGCGCTTCCACGAGAGGCCAGGAAAAGACACCTCGGTAGACGGAGAGCTTGACTCGTATAGAACACTGGAACCCTTGGCTGTCATGTCAAGGTGCACCCAGTGACAGTTGATACTAAGGACGGATACCGGATGATACTGTGACAAAAGCCCCGAAAACTGGATGGAATTCACTGAGCATGACCACGAACTGGCAATCGTTCTAGGATTCACTTGTCACCTCAACCTACGCACACATTTGAATTGCGTTACCAAAGCAAACCTGAATGGGATGGGAGTTTGGACAAAAAGGAGACAGTCCCAGAGCCACCAAAATGTTCAAACGGTAGTCTATAACTACCAAATTATAGAGGACCAAGTTAAAAGCTGGTATCCATAATGTGCATGTGAAAAGTGTGATAGAGATCAGCACTACTCACAAGACGCAACTAAAACGGGCTTCCTAATCAATAACCAGATTGGTCTGCGCAACCACTGTCGCAGAAAGTCGTTTAACAGTTCGGTATGTCTAGGGTGATGAGATGCAGATGGAACAGCCCAGCAGCGGAATCCAAGGGTGACCATCTTAGAAAAAACTGAAGACATGCACCAGTAATAAGCCGAAGTGATGTAACACCAAAAACAAATGTACAAGTCGGTAAATTCGCAACTCTCAAGATTGTAAAATGGCAGGCGTACGCCTGATAAAACGTGAATTAACGCGTGAGAAGCGCCCGATTCAGCCCACTGCTGCTGAAAACACCTCTTTGTGAAAACAAGCTAAATCACACTAGCTAAGTAGATGATGGACAAAAGTGAGATACATCCCATCACGAAGAGACTAGACCTTACCGTGATGTGATGGTTGTTTTTGGCTCATCGTACTACAATTTGGGGTGTCCGTTCGATACTCGCAGTCTCACATACAAGGTTGGTTAGCAGTCAGGGATCTGACTAAGTCTTCTGGTTCTCCAGGTTGGGTACTTGGAACATGAGGCGACTTTAAAAACGTGGTGCAGTGGTATCCCTCCCAAAATAAAGCTGCTGTGCTGCATACGATGACGATGAATAGATCGGACAAGATGGGTACCTTGAATCAATCCACTGGCTAACTCAATTAAGCAACATGGAATAGACATGGATAGGTATTCCTGTACAGTTCACAACCTCCCTGATCAGCTTCAAAGCGGCAGGATAATCAGAAAAATCTACCCAATCTTCTTACACTCAGTGATGCAGGTTAGGATTTGCTTTTAAACGTGTATGAACCCTGCAGAAGCAGTTCCCAATTCCAAATAAATGCATAAATCCCAACGATAACAGTACCTTAGCCGTAACTTATACTACGCGACAAAATACGCTCTAAAATCAGCGTAAACACACGAGTGGACGGATGAAATTAACCTCGGCCTATCGAAACATGTCCGGCATCCTCTACCAAATTGATGAACCTGAAATGCGTTACAACACAAAAACCCATAGGGCATAGTTGGAGAGAAATGCTAATGGCAGGTAGATTTCAAGAAACCATGAATGACTGTGCATCAAATGAAATTCCAAGACTTGGTACTTGCTAGGTTTCCCGCGGGGATGGGTCACGATTTAAAGAAACAATTGAAGGTTCACCATCTGTGTTGAGATCTAATGAATTAACCAACAGATGATTGAAGCAAGGATCAGACCACGCCAACAACTGCTGTCCGGATGTTTACTCAAGTCCGTTAGCGATCTGAAAGGGATGACTACCGGAAGGACCGGTAATGGTGCGAAGTATCAAGTGGACCGTTGAAGGAATTGACCGCACGATAGTCAGACCGATGGAGCCTTGCTCTGCTACAGTGCAATGGTACGAGGGACACAAATACGGAATCAAGGTCTTGTCCGTCGAGGGGATAAACGGATATGCCGTTTCCTCAATACAGTTGCCGTAAATCCCAGCAGAGAACACAATAAACAAACAAGTACACTGGTTCCCTTGTACCGCTGTGAGGGACAAGGCGGTTTTTGGCGACGGTATGATATACACTATGGTGGTCCTGTGACGTGCCTGAGTTTGTGCAAACCAGCAGGGATATTCCTCTGCCTATGTACCGAAAAAAGCGGTGACAGAGTAAAGTAGATAAAAGAAGACTCAGACGGAAGGAATACAGATAGATATGGGACTCTTCAGTGATGAGATGGTCCACAGTTAGTTGGGAGATAAAAAAGACTCAAACAGAGAAGGGAGGCTGATAGGCATGGAACTTTTCAGTGATGAGATAGTCCGCAGTTAGTTGGTGGGGACGCCATAGAACAGCCAGGCAAGCGGATAGCGAATGATGAACGCCAAGACCGACGAGTAAATCTAGAAGAGAAGCGGTCGATACAGGAGATGTATCAGTTTTGTACAAGAAACCCTGTATACCGGTATTAGCTCAATGAGGCTCAACATGTGATGGCGTCAACACAACTCCAAGTTAGACAACTAAGTGTAGTTGTTGAGGAAACTTTAATAAGTGGAGCGCATCAGCTTTAAATCCAATCGGTGGATTGTAGAAAATGTGAGCGACGAAACAACCATGGTATGTAGTGAAATGGGGCGTTGATAATCAAGTATTAAGATCCAGATGAAAGACGGAACAAGGGACACACTAGATATTGTCAGTCACTTGAAGGAATTGTTTGCGTTGCAGCAACAAGGCAACGTGATCTCCATATGTGATGAAATCTGGTGAAAGCCATCAACGTGATAGACGGGTTATCGTAGCATCCAAGATGCCCTTTGATATTGCCCTGCTTAGGTTACGCCCACAGCATTAGAGCCAGGTTCATCAGATTCATTCTTATTTCTCCCTGGGAGAGAAAGTACCGATCACAATTTCATCTCTAAACAGGTCGAACGGCACCAGGGCATTCGGATACTATTTGAGTTTGTTTTCTATCGACTGAGGGTCGCCACCATGTCTCTTTGAGCCAACTCCCATAGAGTTTAAGGGTCTACAGGAAACTGTTGCCCGGGTTACCCACATCCAGTGTTATCAGGCACACACTTCGAGAATGCCAACTATGCCAAATGACAAAACATTTGTCACATGACTTGTGTGAAATTCACAACCGCAACGTAGTGGGCCGCTGTAAGATTGGATGGGATCAAACCCGAAGCCTATGCCCACAGTCCGGTCAATCAAAATGGCTCGAAAATTCATCCTAATAGACAACCGCACTAAGCTCGTTATCTGACAAAAGACTTAATACCTGGTCGAATCGAGGAAGCTAATGAGAATATGGACGGTCTGTCTGCCAAGGGCAAAGTTCAAAGTGTTGTAGTTCGCGCGATCCAGCTAGTTAAGGAACGTGATCACTGCAAGTGGGAAGTAGTTTGAGGCCCGCAAAGATTACCCGTTTATACTTCTTAAGCACTGTCAGCGTTAGGAGCTCCTCAGCAGAAAGATTCAAGTTAAGGGAATGGTTTTCAAAAGCAGCGATTCAATGGAAAAGATGGACATGGTTATGAAAATAGCTCTTCTAAAGGAGGAGATAATCCTGAGGCAGTCTCCGTAGTTAACAAGACAGAGAACGATAATTGCAAGTACGCTCATTTTTCAGAGTCTAATCTTCGAGAACCTGGTGGTGGGTCAGGTAACTATCATTTGAAAATCCAGGATAGCTGAAGCCAAATTAAACTGACCTGTAGAAGTAGGAGGGACCTGGTAGTTTCGGCTTCCGACATCGGACCTCTGAACCGTAGCCAGAGGTTAATCAACGTAAAGTTGTTTACTTCAACAATTTCTTCCGTCAACTCCTTCCCGGTGGACATATCCCGATCAACGTTCAGTTCATTTGTATCGTTCTCTGCGACGCAAGGACTTGCGACGACGTGACAGTCGACGATACCGAAGCGCGCACACGTGTTCAATACAAACTGTCCCATAGTACTGAGTGATTTCGGATGGAAACGCACTTTACTGGGATGGAGTAATCCATCATTTGGATCGTACCTGAAATTTTAATGTTGACACTAAGTTTAAAAAATTGTGACAACTGGAAGAAACTTCGTGTGCATGGTACTGGATGTACGATCGCTCGATTGGACGAAGGTAGTTAGAAAGCAACATTAAGATTAGTGTCCATATCCCATGTTAAAAAGAACTAAATTAGCGGGTTCAAGTTAGATTTAGGCGACGGAAAGGCTAGCATAAAGGCTAACTAGTGTGATAAACGGATCGGTAATGGGATAAGAAGCAATCCGTTGGCGCCAAGCAAACTATAAGGAGCTTAAATTGAGTACGAAGCAAACAACTTACAGAGTTTTCCAAAGGAATCCTTGTGCGAGTGACAGAGAAAGAAGTGGGACCTCCTTAACTGTAGAATGGGACTTGTTTTTTTAAAAAAAATTGGTCAAACTCAGTGAATCGAATGACCATGTGAGCTAACTTTAATCAAAGTCGGTTCTCCAACTGTGGTGTTATCGTTGTTCTTATAAAGAGAGGATCGATAACCACTCCCGTCCATCACAGAGGATCGAATGGCTTGAATCCATAAGAATGAAAGACATCAAGGAAACAGGACTGGGGAGAATGGTGAACTTTCATGGTGGTCTTTAGCCCCTGTAACCTGGGTCACACGCTTGGAGTTTTCGCACCACTTAGCCACTTAGCACCACTTAGAAAACAAAATATGAGGAGGATGAGATGAACTCGATGACTATCGAGTGTTGTGTCATACCATATCCCTAATTCGGCACCTTCAATCAGTATCCCCAATGGAACATATTCTGACAAATAAAGTTGCACAGGTATTCTACGCTGAACTATGGTAGAATCAAGAGGAGTCTCCTAAAGTGGTGGGGCAGTATTGACATCAATCACTTAGAGTGACAGTTCTCAACCTATTTCAAACAATGTCTCAATTCAAGAAAGGTCATTCGGTCCTCCAAGCCTTTCCTAACATGGAAAATATCTCAGACAACTACTCCGAAATAATGAATAGAGACAACGGATTCATGTGCCGCAGATTCAGTCTAGAACGAGATTAATCTTCAACAGCAGCATATTAGTTTCACTCATTTATTGACAACTTTGCCCACTGATAACTCCAGGATAAACGGGAGAGTGAAATGCATACCGCTTCTACCTTGCAATCCGCCTCATTTGTTCGCGTTAGTTCGTTACTAGCACAAAGATTCTTACTCGCGGGGATGCAGCAACCAAGATAAAAGCATCCAAAGTTTAAGTTGTTTAAGCATTTGAACGACAAGCGGTGTTGATTTACCGTACAAATTATCGATTGGCTGAACAAACTGAAAACGCGGCAGGGTTGAATCCTGTCGTACGACAATCTGCACAAACAACCCATCAAGCAAAAACTATTTTTATCGCACTTCAGATTTGGCCTGAGTGTGTTATTACGTCATACCTTTTCGCAACGTTTGACCGTCAGGTCTTGCACAATTATTAAGCGATTGTTTGCTACCATTTTAGTCGTTTCGAACTCTGAATCCTTTGGGCCCCCATGCATGTACACTGGAACCTGTTCACTCCGGATTTGTGAAAATGGGCTTGAAGGTATGCTCCTGAACAGCACCCTCACTCCAGGCGTCTCTGAGGGGCAATTTTCCACGCCAACAAGAGCTGGGATTAAAAATACGCAAACGATTTTTTCGTTTTCACATCCCATAGCTTGTGGCTACTCTGTTCGCGTTTCGCAATAAGCGACTCTGCATTCGAAGATGCCTGTTCTTCCACTTGAAGTATAAACGAGTTTGTTTCAAACCTGATTGAGGCTTTCAACCAGGTTATAGGGACGTGAAATACTACAGTATTCGTCCCAAAATAAGCCTTTCCAACAAGGCTGTTGCCTACTCTGCGGTGACGTGCGAAATCTAGATTTTAGCACGAGACAGGTTTGCCGATCAATGAGACCAATTATTAAAACAAATCACATTCACTGGGTTTCTCCAGGCAATCTTTCGAGTTGGAACAACCTTACTGTCCTGGTAAGAACAACGGTAACTGATTACTATTGAAAGGATAGAGCTGGTCTGACAAAAAAACCACTCAGCGCAGTGACCGCTACATTCAGGAGGAAGTCACCTGGCCGACGAGAATTCATCGGTACGCATGATATTCTGGTCCCAACCCCAAATACACACACCTAGCACAGGTCCCCACTTAACTCCGATTTCCAAACTAATACGGCTGCGCATCAACCTACTGCGCAGCGGAACAATCATGTGAAACAGAGCCGTGCATTTATGCCCCACGTCTGAATCACGTCCGATTTCATCACGTGCCGGAGAAAGGTCAAATAGGGACACAGAAAGTTCACACCCACTCCATGGCCAAGGCGCCCCGTCGTACACAAGCGCACAGACGGCCATCTATGATCAACAGAGACAAAGGAACAACCACCCGAGAACCGGTGTGGATGTGTGGGAGACACACTGGTTGGTTGACAGCGGATCGACCATCAAATACGGTGACAAGTGAATCATATATATAGAAGTTTGTAATTGCGTTAATACACAGTTCCTTCAGGTCGTCTTCTTGTCTTGTGACTATAACCCAGTAGCGTCAGGGCAGGTGAAGAGATACAACACAAACGAATCTGGAAAGTATGTGGAAGGCCACTGGTTGAACCTACAAAGCGCGCCGTTCGTAATGCGCTGGTGGAGACCTGAAGCTGAATTGCTCCATGACGTTCAGTGAGATTCAATTCAATGATGCCTGCCACTCCATCAACTACATAGGCTTCGAAGGGATTGACCAAGCTCAACTTTTGAGGCAACCTTTGAATGCCGTTTGCAACAAAACGACTGCAGATTGGCGGCAACATGTCCAAGGAAAACAATACATACTGACGACTTTATGACTGTTAGTTTCAGTCAAGGTAGAGATGATCAGGACGCCAGTCACAAAACGACGCCTGGTGTCAAATAGCGGCAATCGTCGCACTTCACCCCATCTTGATGGATTCTACTGACAACAAACATCGCATTTGTGGTCTTCACTCTCCAATCCAGTCCCACGATTAGAAACAGCTAATCAGTCATTGGCAAGAGACTGGCGTTACAGACACCATAAGAATTCCTTGAAAGTGAGGAGCTGATTCGAGGACAACACGAGTGGTGGACACCATGCACGCGGTGCAAGTTATATCCCAGAAATCACCACACATTTGCTCAGTGCTACTGGTATTCTAGGGCTATCCCAATTCTATTCTATTCCACGGTTGGCCGGAAGCAGTTTTCATTAAATTGGAAACCCGAGAACTAATTTGTCCACACCTTCATATCGTCTACCGACCGTCGGGATCAGAATAAGACCAGTGGAATCAAATGTCACTATGTACAGAGAAGAAACATACGGACGATTCTCCAACGTTGAAAAAACGCAAAAATCGATTTCGCAAACGCAAAGCGAAACTGACAGGTTGCGAAAAAAAAAACAAATTCGCAAGGCGGCTTGACGGAAAACAGCAGTATTTCACCTGCATATATCTCATTTACAATACTCTTCAGCTGAAAGTGCTGCACAAGGGCTGTCCCATTTTTCAGTTGTATTCAACACATCTAAGCGTGTTTCGATACTGTTCATAAAGCCGATGAATATTGTGGGAGCCCACTACTGCTTCACTCCTCTCTCAGTTCATAAGGAAGGCTTAGTCTCCGTGTATACCGTTTGAACACCAAACTGTATGTAGGTTTCAGTAAACACTCAGTTGCAACTTGAATCCACCAAGACTAGATCGATTTGCAATCACAAGCTACGCACAAGTTGGTGTCCCACTTGATGACGTCTCAACAAAAAACAGTAGTAGGTTAAACAGACTGATCATTGACCATATAAGTAGCAGGGAAGTGATGTACTGAATTCTGAAATGCTCAAAGTTTGTCAACAAGGACCACGACATAAACATCGCAACCTAATCCAACTAATAGGAATGGGCGGGGCTGTCCCACAAGGCCTCGAGATGCATGCTATCTCTCGCAACTAAAAAAGCGAGATCTGACCACTTGGTCCACCCTAGCAAAAAGGTAACCTTTGAGAAGCACCCACGTGCTAGTCAGCTTGTTAATAAAGTGTGATTGACTGAAAACGATGAAGCAGAGTATTAGCCAAGGATTTCTGTTGTAAAACACAGACAATCAAGAACGCGTCTACTTCAGCGAGATTGCAATACCCCGAGTACATTTTTCACGGAAAAGCATCAACTAAGATAAGCGGTTTAGGCAGTTAGATGCCCCCTGGATTCCCGTAACGTGTGCAGGTAGTACGAATAGCACAAAGCGAGGATATACGGAAAACTGAGCTTATTCAGAAAACAATTTCGCTCACTGCCGAGACAATCAGTGGGTCAGAGTACAAATACGAAAACAGAAATAGTTTGGGAGTTCGCAACTTCAAGCAACGCAAAAAGATAGACACCACAGAATGAGACAGCGCGCTGAGATGTCTACCGTAGACTGATACTGGACAGTTATTGCCCGACACTGGGTATCAAGTGGTTTGCCCACAAAGGTTCATGGAATTCATGGAGATCATTTGCAGTGATACGAAACATCACGAATGATGTTGAGCCTGTCACCACATCACCGAAAAGAGAATGTTGTTTTGACTGCTGATCAACTGCTAAATGACCAACCAATAGGCACACACAAGATACTAATATTTAGATACATCGCCCAAAAATACGGACGCCAAGTGATAGTAAAGGTGTGGTCGGGTCTCGAGAAGCCCGACCATAGGGAACCCTATTTCTTTATTGCGGCTCATCAGATTGAAAAGAAAGATCGGTTAAAAGACCTTTTACTTGGAACCGCAGGTTGTTGCTATCCGGATGACGCGCTTGCAAAGATTCGAAAGCACAGCCAAAAGCAAAACAGATTATTGAGGAGTGCAAATAGGTTAGTGTCTACAGCACGGGACGTATTCACTGAGATTTCTCTTTTAGGACAAACGTCTGAAAATTCATCTGCCTTTTAGTTGTGGGAAGTTTATCCAAGTATTGGAAAAGGAACATCATCAAGGTTCCTGCTTCTTTTTTCTAGAGCCATTGTCGGAGGAGTGTTGCTTTGAATAGTACCAGGAAAATAAGACAAAATGAATGATCACGGAGAGGGAAAACTGCTACACACCAAACGAAATCAGCAAAAGGAGAGAGGTAACAAGAGGCGCACGTGCGCTTTTGAGGTCAAAATTGAAAGAATAGAGAAACGCCTTCATTGGTTCCTGAATTTTAAAGAATGCTTGGGTAGCGAGAAGCGTTACAATCAGATGTTTGTTAGTGAATGAGATTACCCGTATACTAACCTCCCGACTGCTCCCTACGCAAAGATCGAACCAATTCACGACCTGAGCTTGCAATGTACCTACTGTGGCAGACGGTACCTACCATATGGAGACAGGGTACAAAGGAACAAACTGAACGGGTCGTGGTTCAGTTGAACCCATAGCTACTAAACTTCTTATCTGTCCTCGAGAGTCCCACTGGTTTAACAACAGCCAATAGAACTTCGCAGGCGAAGGATCTGGGCAGTCGGGACGACAGACACATATTTCAGTAGATCAGCAGGTTTATTCAACCCTCCTTAATTGGTTATACTTGCTTAATGCCATTTGAATTTGGAAGTAATAATACCGCCAATCCTACAAAAGCGGATAAACGTACCAAGGTAGACGATGCCGAGGACACGGAATGAGACCAAACAATTGGGGCATGCTGTACAAAGAATTTACGATTTGTGGTAGGAAAAACAGCATCAGCGTTTTGCTGAAGTGGCCCAGAATACCGACAACAGCCAGTGTCATCCCGGCAAAGTAGCAGAACGTGTCCCCGACAAAAACAGAGGCCGGATAGCTGGAAACAAATAGGAAAGCCAGTAAAGTAAACTAGTAGTTGAGGTCAATTAGACACAAACTGCAGTAGTTTAACTAGCACAAGCAATCTTTACTTTTAACTAATGAGACAGGTAAGCAACACTCGGACTGCGGACCACATGGAGAAGTAAAATGAAACGCATACGAGAACCAAAGTTCAGTATTCGATAAAAGTGGAAAGCATTCACGAGTGGATTTGACGACAAACTTTGGCTCCACTGAGAACGAGAACGCTTGGATTGGGCTCCACAAGTTAGTTCACTTTTCAGCTATAAACCGCATAGTAAAGTACGCTGTTTCTACCTCTTACAGTGTCGTTCACTGAAGATAAGGAAACTACAGGAGACCATTGTAAAACTAGTCCACCGGTGTTAAATTCTGTTCGAATACATGGTATGGAGTCGTAGAGCTACGCACTGAGAACAGTTCTGATAGGGGATCGCCAAGGAGTTACCAACAGTTTGTTTGTTTCGTCCCGTAGCCCTCATCCTGGAAGATAGCAGCTGTCAGCTAGATTGAGTTGACTGAAAAAACTCTCATGCTTCTTTCCCAAGTCATGAACTGACCTGAGCCCTTTCCACTCGATACACGGCTGACCGTGACGAGATCGAATGTGTCAGCATCCTCGGACTGACGGTTTCAAACATGTGCATGGCCTCTTTTACCTTTATGCGCCGTCGTACAAATTACCATTGTGTCCACCAACTCAACTCGATATCGTTCAGATACGGAGACGCTTTGCGGGTGGTAAACTGAATGGCTTTGCATCAACCGGCGGGCTCCAGAGGGTAAGCGATTAGACACGTGTGTCCACACAAAGCCGCAAACAGAGTCCAGAGTGTGCTCCAAAATGAACGAGAATCTTTTGGCGGAGTTCTCCACCGGTAGCTAATTGCCACATAGTCTATCTGAGTCCAGGGCTCGTTTGTAGTTGACGGTACCCAGGTACTAAGGTGCAAACTTTTGTCCTGAAAGGTTGTGTTGATTAGAAACATTTTGTTCTGTACATCACTGAAAAATTCGCCCGACATTATTTACGCAATGAGCGTCAACTTCGAATCGGTTGCAAACATGGGCCCCTAAAATACCCAGCCGGTTGACATGGGCGTTCATATCACCTGCCACAACCACGATATCTGTACTTCGCGCTGACCGGAAAAGTCATGAAAATCTCGATAAAAGCTGTTCTTTTCATTCTAAGTTGGCGTCTTTGGATCGTATGTTGACACGAAGAACACCGTTTACCACGCCGAGATCTGTTGACCGAAACTGAGGCAGTTAACCGGGCAGTGCAATGGCGATTATTTACTGGAATCCGGTCCTGGATAGTGAAACCGTGTTGCAGTCAAAGACAGAAATGTACTGACTGTTAGTCACACCCTCATGTTTTGACAATACATTTTTCATAGTTGCGTTAATGTATGCCCACCACTTTGAGAACCTCCATGACCTATCGCAGGTCACCATGCACGGACGATAGGGGGTTGTGAAGAGCCCAACAGACAAGGACACTCTTTAGCTAAGCAGTACGGCTAGAAAATGACAGGGATCGGACAGGTGACTTCCTGTAGGGTTAATAACCAGGGGCAAAAGTGAAAAACCACATGTGCTGCAACTAGGAAACCCTGAAGTACTTCATTTGATGAAGGCGTTTTAATTTTTTGCAACTGTGTCACAGTTTACCATCGTTTTTTCGTTAGCATGGGTCTGGAGTGGAAAGGGGAGCTCCTTGATACGTTATGGTTAAATATATACAAATGTGGCTAGTGACAATATACGTAAAGCTATACACAGTGCCAAGCTCTTCAGAGTTTCCAAAGGGGACAAAAGGATCGGAAATCCTGAAGCAAGGCTGCATTTTAGATACTAAACGCATGTCAAAACAGAGACCAATACAAACATCCTGTTTCGAATAGATGGTGCGGAGTGGTAATCGTCGAAAAGCAAGGCCATATCACTGCATAGTCGAAGTTCACTAATAGTTGGCTATTGTGTATTTATCCAGGAGCAATTTCGAGTGCCGGAGTTCCGACTCGCAAAAGTATGCACTCCTTTGGTTGTACCAGTGAATAAAAACTGGACAAAAAGGGTGACAGACAGCATTTTTGGTAAGCTCCAGCATATGCTTTAGGCGGTTTGTATAAATCATAACACAGACGGTAAAACAAGAAATGGGACATACTCACCGGTTGACTTTATACAAAGCCCAGCAAACGGCCATGAATGGGATCAAAAAGTACAGGGAAAACAAGTGGACGCGCCAAAGGTATCCTGCGAATTTGAGGGTGGCAGATGGACGGATGAAGAACAAAGACATCAGGCATACATTTTGTGAAAGAACAGACCCCTAGTTGATCACGAAGAGTGTGAAATGTCATGTGTTTGGATCACCATGTTCAAAAGCAACCTAAATCACTATGTGGAAGGCATTAAACTAAGCGGAAACGGTTCATTTTTGCTTTAGGTATCCTGATGACCACTGGACGGATGCCAAGAATGCTATCATGTGGAGTGAAACCCTCATCTGAAAATTAGGATGGTGTTGACTGTATACTGCACGAGAATTCAGTTGAGTCTACAGTTAACACCATCTTTATTCGCGAATGAATGTTTGAGTTTCCGTAGGTCGAGAGATTAATTACTGAACAAGTGTGATGGACTGGGTCAACTGGATGAGCCGCAAAAAATGACAAAAATGGTGGTAAGCTGTCCGAGAGATTTCATCAACCTTAAAAACAGGACGGCTTTGAGGAATCGAATCGGGGGCGAGATGGCCGAAGTGGTTAGAGCGCGAATTTACTGACCGGAAGGACCATGGTTCGAACCCGACCTCTGCCTCTCGACTTCCCCTGTCTAGACTTGGGCAACCTGGCAGTATCCCAGCCCTCGTGCTTCCTTCGGGTGGCATGGCAGCTAGGCACCGAAAGGGTGCTACAGCTGAACTATTATTATTATTTATTATTATTATTGAGGAATCTACCATTTTTTCATCACGTAAGGCCGAAGTCTACCTCCAACCCAGCGGTGACCAGGATCTGGCTGCATCAAATCCCATAAAAAATTCATGCTAAACCAGAAACTCTCTCACTGAGGTTACGGTGGGGATAACGGCGACATGTAACCTTAGCAGAGCCTACTCACCTTAAAAAACCATTGGAAGCAGAAACTGTTCACGACTTTTGGCTGCTATAGGAGTTAAAATACTCCCAAAACATAAAAATGACTCATTTATTGGTCAGGTTAGGGGTAGTCCATACTAAGAGGCAATTACCCAAACAACGGAGATCTGATAACATCGCTAAGTGACACGCGGTATTTCAGTCTTCAACTTCCTATCAGTTTCAAAGGAGGGTGATTTTACTTTATTTTCAACGAAATTACAGAGGCTAACCATCTCAACGACAGTTGTCCCCAGGCACTTTTTGGCTAGAAGACAGTACGCGAAAGTATCCCAAAAAGAATAGCAAACACAGCAGCAAACAGAATGATGAATGCATACAAGCAGAAACTAGATTCAATCTAGCAGTCATCGTAAGGAGGGTGAAATAGCAACATGAAGAGGACGATCCAAGCTGAAACCAAGAGGGGATTGCACGAACTGAACAGCGCAGAGTGGCTTGGCGTTATCAGTCGAACAGGCGCCACTTAATTAACTAATATGAAGTGATTGGCACAGGGACCTATCCCACCCACCAAATACATGGAACAAAATATCACACTCCATTACTGGAATGCTGTATAGCATTCGCTTAAACTCAGCCGAAGTGAAGCGGGTGGCAAAGCTTTCCGCAAACCTATCACTGCCTACATCAAACACACTCATCTTTATCTCTACAGATGAACTCTCTTCTCGGCTCTCCTTCCCCTCTTCATAGGTATTTCCTCACAATATATTAGTCGTTAATCTGTCAGAAATTTCCATGTCATCAGAGAAAGCCATCAACATTAAGCTGCGTACAGAAAAATGAAATGGAAGCCTAATAATAAAGATTCATGCTGACTGCAAAACACTTTTCAAACCCAGTCATGATGCTGAGTGTGTTCAATATTGACGCAAAGGACTGCATGACCAAAGCTCACTGCTAGCCCTGCCCTCGACCGAGCGCGTACAACTCACCTCGGAAACGACGATCGCAGGACATACTAGTCCACTTAGCTAGCCCAGTTAATGACTCGACCCTGATCAGTTGGACCCCGTTGAATTCCAGGCTGTGTGCGACGAGACTGAAAGGCTAACCCAGGTTTCCCGGCTAACCTAGTGTGTCTGTTGGTCATCGCTTCCTGCGTCCACACAAACACCGGCCCAGACTCAATGAAGGACGAGTTCTCACCAAGTGAATTAAAAATCGACGACATTATGCTTACAAACGTCAGCGCAGCCTCTACCCGGCCGAAATCCCGCTTGACTCTCACGAGTCAAGGCTTCACGTGTCATCGTAGGACGACGAAGAATCAGTGACGCCAGAAGCCTTACCACAACTGGAGTCAAACTAACACCTCTGTTGTTACCACATTCACTACGATTACCCTTTTTGAAAATGGACACTACTAATCAGTGACGCCAGAAGCCTTACCACAACTGGAGTCAAACTAACACCTCTGTTGTTACCACATTCACTACGATTACCCTTTTTGAAAATGGACACTACTAACGATTCACGTTGTTTGTCTGGGACGGTCTCCTTCTCTCAGATAGATCCACATAGGCTAGACGAGCACTGGCTGAGTTCCACTGCCATTCTTGAAAAAGCAGGTGAAAGATCGTCAGGACCAGTGGCACGATGATGCTTCAGTAGAGAAATATATTTGGACACTTCTGAGACTGACGGCGGCTCCGTATTCACGGTCCGTCTTTCTGTTGAAGGCCAGGATTCTGGATTGCAGGTAGCAGATAGCCAGCTGAATCGCTGTTCAAAGTACTGTGCCCAGCGGTCTAAACGTTCTTCTTTGTTGCATATCAGGGAGCCATTTTGCTCTCTGATTATTTCGCTGACGAGAGGTTTCCGAGGAGCAGTCAAACGAAGAAAGTGGAACAGCTTGCGCACCTTTCCAGCATTCTTTGCATCTTACACTTCTTCGGCCTTTCGGGTCCACCAAGCTTCTCGGTTTGCATGGACACTCAGATTCACCTGACGTCGGATGATGCATCGGGTGGATCTGCGGTAGCGATCAGAAGGAATAGGTCGCCGGGTCTCCAGCATAGACACGGTTCTATCAAACCGTTTGGATGAGCCTGACTGGGTTGTACCCCGCAAAGCGTGTTATGGCTTTGAGTAGCGCCTCGAATATCTCTTCCTAGTGGAGGTTAATATCGGACGTCGTGCCGTGCAGCAGGTGCCCGAGGTGCTGGTTCCAATAGTTTCGTTTGACTTCTGGGTCCACTAGCTTCTAAATGGCTGAGAGAAGTGTGTGCGTTTTGCGTACACTTGGAAAGCGCAATGAAAAGCAGCAGCGTACAAGTGCATGATTGGAGTCCACGCTAGCGTTCCAGAATGAGTGGTAGGTGGTGATCGACCCTCGCCACCGATAACTGACGGCCATGTGGTCTATTTGGATTTAGGGCTGGTTTGGTGGGCACCACGTTGTCAAGCGATTTCCGCTGTTCCGGAAGTTCATACTGCAAAGGAACAGTCAGTGATCAACACACATTTGAAGTAAGCGGTCTCCGTTGTCCGTGCGTCTTGTGTCCAAGCCAAGACAACCACTCAATCGGACCTCAGCAGCGCTTAGTCTACCAACCTGGGCGTTCATGTCGCCAGCAACCACAACACTATCTGAGCTTTCAGCCTGCTGTACAAGGGCACCTAGAGCGTCATAGAAACTTTCTTGGCAGATTCAGGGCTAGTCTGTTGGGGCGTATGCAGGCACAGTGGTCAACGTGCGATGGACCTCGCTTCCTCTAGCCTCTCACAGATGTTGCCAAACGAACCGCACAGAGGCGACTATCAACGGGTATCCAATCGAGTAGGACGCTTCCGCTCGTTCGCTCAATACAATACCCACTCCAGCATACCCAGCTGCAGCGGCCTCTGCATCATTAGAGGTGCATAGCCGGAACCTGGAAGAGAGCAAGGGGGCAGTCATTTCGATCAAAGTACTTGCGTCCTGCGTCGTTGTTTCTGAAAAAACAGACATCAGTGCAGAGGGAATCAACGTACGAACAAGAGCCACCTGCTGACCTGCTCGCTTCAGTGCGCGAACACTAAACGTGGTTAAATAGACAGGATTTCGGGGTTCGAAAGTTCGAGGTGCTTAGGGTTGTAAGTGAACACGGACAAACTGAACCTGAGTGTGATGCATGGCGAGCAAATCGGTCAGTCCTACAGCTGGAACTTGGGGAGAAAGTATTTCAATTTGGGTGAGGGAGGGTGGAGGACGGAAAAGGTGAAGGGAGGCGTCAGCAGTAGTTTGCTTTCGCTCACCCGCCGTTGTATGCAGTAAGTAAGGCGACTCGACTGATGGCACCCCACGATGGCCAATGTAGCATGAAAGTATGGTTAGCTGTAAATGTCATGGTCGTATGAGGGCTGGGATACTGGCAGGGCGCCCACACCTAGACAGGAGGACGATTAGGGTCCTCAACCAAAGCCTAACCGCAAGACAGCGATGTTTGGCGGGAAATGCAAATGCATTACCATTTCTACGGAACAATATATCACATATTTCAACCCCCAACCTGGAGAGCAAGGACAAGGTGTTCGTCAGAACTCTAAACATTGACCAACCTGGTATGACAGACTCTGTGAGTGTCGCGGGGAAACCCTTCAGTATAGCTCAGTGGGTTGCTGAGGTGCACGAACTGTCACACCACAGCAAGGTCCAGTCTTATCGTGACGGACACCGTTGGTAGAACACTGAATGACCGTCAGTCTTTGCATGTCCGTCGCAGTGACAATCACAGACAACGGGTTGTCCCTTTCCCGTGAAAATTTTCGACAATTCTGGCAATGCGCTCTTGTCTGTCAGTCAACAGCGGACCAAATCTACCACTGTAATCAGCTTCTGAAAAACCACCGAGAAGCGGCATCTCGGTGAAACCTGGAAGAATTAACGAAGACCGGCAAATCGGTGTAGAACCAATACAGGTGTAACGGTGGATACTACTGGTGAGGTAGGCGAGTAGTATGTTCCCCGTATATCAGCTTCGCGTCCATTGAAAGGCGAGATTCATTACGGAATTTGTGGAGTTGATTTGCAGCATTTGTTTACCTTTAAGCAACAGCCAATGAAAAGTTCAATGAAAGTTCGAAAAGACGCGTTCTAGTAGAATACGGATATTCCGTTTTTGTAAACGAGATGCATCCGGGAGTTTTGCTTCCCTGTTCAATAGTCTGTAACCGTTCATTTGGTGTCCTAATAAACAAATCCGCAGCACAGGTCTTCAGTGCATAGCTCCTTTTCCACCCCCCCCTCACTTGACAGCCCACTGACAGTGCTGGATTTATGCACCAACTTACCAGCTCGCGCCTACAATGCGCAGCTACCTCCCCCCTCCCCCAAATCATCGGTGAACGAAACTGCGGCAGCTGCAACCACTGTACGACGAGTACGCGGTTATTACAGCTGACAGTGATGATGATGATGACTGGTATCCACTGTTACTTCATGCTTGGGCCAGATTGTGGCTCTCAGCAGGTCTGCGTAGTTGCTTGCCGGTACTATTCCTTGAGATGTTTTGTACATGGCACCATAATCGGTTCAGCGCAGATCCCTTAAAGTCTACCTACTATGTTCAAGAGTCCAGTGGATGGATAACTAGTGACTCCTGCGGAACAGACTAGATGTTCGTTGATTTCTTCCGTCGCTGAACAAACGAGCAGTCGCAGGGTACGCTGGAACATATCAAAACCTGACCATAACTTCCATTTACATTTTCTAGAACTAGACACGAGAATTTCATCAACACCTTCCGCCATGCCCCAGAAGCCTGGGAAAGGCCGCATTTTTCAAAACAATCTTATGTAAACCTGATTAAGGCAGCATCCCAGGGCAAAATAACTTAATGTGACTTAGGTAACGTTCCCGATTATGATAAAGTTAGTTCAATTTTCGTCATACATTAATGCATTTCCCCCCATTTATAAGTTACCATGAGCGGGATGTGCCAGTCGGAAGTAGCTTTACACCAAAACGCTCCGTCGATTTCATTCAACAGTACCGATATCACTGTTGGCATCCGAATCAACGGTGTTTGAGTGGACCTCCATAACTGTCACCACAGCTGAGCAGCCAAATCCATGGTTTGATTGCGGGATATTAACTGCATGGAAAATACCTTTCAACCTGTGACCCAGATATCATGGTCTCGGAAACAACCCTCTTAGCAGGAATTCAAGGAGCTGGTTCTGATAGTTTTGTTTGACTTCTGGGTCCACTAGCTTCTAAATGGCTGAGAGAAGTGTGTGCGTTTTGCGTACACTTGGAAAGCGCAATGAAAAGCAGCAGCGTACAAGTGCATGATTGGAGTCCACGCTAGCGTTCCAGAATGAGTGGTAGGTGGTGATCGACCCTCGCCACCGATAACTGACGGCCATGTGGTCTATTTGGATTTAGGGCTGGTTTGGTGGGCACCACGTTGTCAAGCGATTTCCGCTGTTCCGGAAGTTCATACTGCAAAGGAACAGTCAGTGATCAACACACATTTGAAGTAAGCGGTCTCCGTTGTCCGTGCGTCTTGTGTCCAAGCCAAGACAACCACTCAATCGGACCTCAGCAGCGCTTAGTCTACCAACCTGGGCGTTCATGTCGCCAGCAACCACAACACTATCTGAGCTTTCAGCCTGCTGTACAAGGGCACCTAGAGCGTCATAGAAACTTTCTTGGCAGATTCAGGGCTAGTCTGTTGGGGCGTATGCAGGCACAGTGGTCAGCGAGCGATGGACCTCGCTTCCTCTAGCCTCTCACAGATGTTGCCAAACGAACCGCACAGAGGCGACTATCAACGGGTATCCAAGTAGGACGCTTACAGAGGCGACTATCAACGGGTATCCAATCGAGTAGGACGCTTCCGCTCGTTCGCTCAATACAATACCCACTCCAGCATACCCAGCTGCAGCGGCCTCTGCATCATTAGAGGTGCATAGCCGGAACCTGGAAGAGAGCAAGGGGGCAGTCATTTCGATCAAAGTACTTGCGTCCTGCGTCGTTGTTTCTGAAAAAACAGACATCAGTGCAGAGGGAATCAACGTACGAACAAGAGCCACCTGCTGACCTGCTCGCTTCAGTGCGCGAACACTAAACGTGGTTAAATAGACAGGATTTCGGGGTTCGAAAGTTCGAGGTGCTTAGGGTTGTAAGTGAACACGGACAAACTGAACCTGAGTGTGATGCATGGCGAGCAAATCGGTCAGTCCTACAGCTGGAACTTGGGGAGAAAGTATTTCAATTTGGGTGAGGGAGGGTGGAGGACGGAAAAGGTGAAGGGAGGCGTCAGCAGTAGTTTGCTTTCGCTCACCCGCCGTTGTATGCAGTAAGTAAGGCGACTCGACTGATGGCACCCCACGATGGCCAATGTAGCATGAAAGTATGGTTAGCTGTAAATGTCA